CGAAGAAGTCTGAGGTGACTTCTACGCTGATCCGGTGGTTACTTACCACTGCGGACACTCATGGCCGTCGTGTCAACTGTCTTCACTCCGACCGTGGGGTGAGTTTCGCTCTAGCATTCTCCCTAGATTCTGTCGCGAGCAGGGCATCCGTCAGTCCTGGACGCTTCCAGAGTCCCCATAGCAGAATGGAGTTGCTGAGCGCCGCATAGGCTTGGTCATGGAGATTGCACGCACCTCCATGATCCACGCCCGTGCGCCCCATTTTCTGTGGCCCTACACGGTTCGGTACGCCGCTCACCGGCAGAATCTCTGGCCACGTGTCTCTCGGCCAGAGGCTTCACCGACAAGTCTCTGGATGGGGTCCCCTGGTGCTGCGTCGCAATTTCATGACACCTCCGCGGATAAGCTCTCCCTTCGCGCCCTTCCCTGTGTCTTCCTTGGTTTCCCCATTGACTCCTCTGACTTCACCTTTTACCACCCTCCCCTTCACTGGTTCTTTGACTCCCGTGACGTTCGTTTTGTCGAGTCAGTCCCCTACTACACCTGGTACCCCTGTCGAGGTCTTTCGGTACCTCCTCCTCCTCTCTTCCTGACTCCCGCCCCCCCTCCTGCCCCTTAGGTACAGCCCCCCCCCAGTCCAGCCCCGTCAGGTGTGTCACACGCTACCCCTCCCCCCTCGGTAGCCCCTCAGGTGCCGTCCCCTTCCCCACAGTCCTCCCAGCCTGCAGCAGACCCTGCGGGAGCTGGTTTTCGTGGCGAGGACCCTGGAGGTGCTAGCTCTAGAGGTGCTGGAGTTGGAGCAGAGAGCGTACTTGTGCGAGGGCGTGGTTCTGGGGGTGCTGGAGTTGGAGCTGAGCCCGTAACTGCAGGAGACTCTAGTCTTCGGGGAGCTGGTGTTAGTGGAGCTGTCCCTGGGGGTGCTACGACTGGGGGGGCACCCTCTGTTGGACCTGGAGAGCCTGGGACGGGCCCTGTTACTTCTGGTGGTGCTGGCTCTGGGGGTGGTGCGACTGGTTCTTTGGAGAGCGGTCCTGGGGCTACCGCCGCACCGGACACTACTCCTCCTCCCCACCCCTACCCGACCCGGCACCAGGCCCGTGTTCGCGGTGCCTGTGAGGAGCAGCTGGAGTTCGAGCGAGAGGAGCGAGAGCTGGAGCGGCAGCAGCTGGAGCTACAGCGGTTTGAGCAGCAGCAGCAGCACCCGGAGCAGCAGCCGGAGTAGGAGCAGCCACAGCAGCAGCCGCAGCAGCAGGAGCAGCAGCAGCCGCCGCAGCTGGAGGAGCAGCGGTCGCAGCCGCAGCAGCAGCAGCAGCAGCAGCAGCAGCAACAGCCGCCACCTCCTCCTCCTGTCTATGGTATTCGGGCCCTCGGTCTCCCCTCTCCTTCTCCTCCCTCCTCCCCCTCTCCTCCTGTCCCTGGTCCTCCGCTTCCTCCCCCTGACCCCTCCCCAGCTGTTTTCCCTCCTTCTCTGCCTCCGTTGTCCCCTCCTCTTCCTCACACTTGGCCCTCGCGTCGCTCTCTTCGTGCTCGTCCCTCGTCCCCTTCCCTTCTGTGACCTTCGTACTGCCCTGTTTTGTTCTAGTCCGCCTCGTTCGTCTCCTTCTGTACTTCCTTCTCCTCCTGAGTCGGCTCTCACTACTTCCCTCTGTACTCCTGTTACGGACTAGTACCGCACGTACTTTCATGTCCTCTCTCGTGTTCTCGCCTCTCTTGTTACCGACCCACGTGCTTCGCTGTCCTCTGTCTCCGCTCTTACTGCCGCAGTCACTGAGTTTGCCTCTACTCGCCGCCTTGAGTACGCCACCAGTCTTGTGGCTGCTCCTCCTACCAGTCCTCTGGCCGTCGGGGGTGAGTCTACGCTTGGTTGTGACGCCCTAGAGGATAGGCAGTTTGAGCTAGAGTTCCTGGCAACCACTCCCCTCATCTCTGTGCCATGCTGCTCGCTCCTGAGGGAGACCCCGACGCCCTTGACCTACCGACTCCTCGCACTTACGCTGAGGCAGTGTTAGGGCCTTGGGCCTCTCAGTGGAGAGCTGCCATGGACTTAGAGATGGCCTCCTACAGATCCACAGGCACTTACGTCGACGAGGTTCCCCCCCCTTGGACGAACGTAGTCGATGTCATGTGGATCTTCAGAGTAAAGCGGCCACCGGGATCTCCTCTGGTCTTCAAGACGTGCTATGTGGCTAGAGGTTTCAGTCAGCGCGAGGGAGTTGACTTCTTTCATACCTTTGCGCCTACCCCGAAGATGACCACTCTTTGGGGGTTACTGCACGTAGCAGCACAGAGGGACTACGAGTTACACTCTCTCGACTTCTCTACTGCTTTCCTTCAGGGTAGCCTACACGAGGAGGTCTGGCTGCGTCGTCCCTCTGCCTTCACTAACACTTTCCCTCCTGGGACCCAGTGGAGGCTGAGGCGACCGATCTACGGTCTCCGTCAGGCTCCTCGTGAGTGGCACGACACCCTTCTTTCTACCCTGCCTGACCTCGGTTTCCAGCCGTCTATTGCTGACCCGTCGCTGTTTGTTCGGCGTGGCTCCACACCGTTCTTTGTACTGGTCTACGTCGACGACCTGGTTTTCGCCACTGTTGACAGGGTTGCTTTGGCTGACGTGAAGCGCGAACTGCAGAAGAGACACACGTGCACTGACCTTGGTGAGCTGCGCCACTACCTTGGCCTGCAGATCAGCAGGGACAGAGCCGCTCGCACCATTACACTCTCACTGTCAAACATGGTGCAGCAGGTCCTTCAGCGGTTCGAGCTTCAGCTCTCCACAGTACAGCGCACACCTCTTGCTGTTGACCACAAACTCACTGGACCCTTCCCCGACGAGCCGTTTGAGCCTAGTGGTCCTTACGCAGAGCTTGTGGGCTGCCTCATGTACCTGATGACTTGTACTCGCCCGGACCTCGCCTTCCCTCTTAGCATCCTTGCTCGCTTTGTTACGCCAGGGAGACACCGTCCAGTTCACCGTCTGTAGTGACGACATCAGGCGTGGTGCTGATTCTTGAAGGGCAGCACTCTGTTGTACTTACTGGACACTGTGACTCTTTTTACGCTGACGACGCCGAGACTCACAAATCTACTCAGGGGTACTGCTCCAACCTGGGCTCTGGAGCTGTTTCGTGGAGGTCCACGCGTTCCTCCTCGTTCTCGACCTCCACTGCTGAGGCCGAGATCTACGCTCGAGCCATGGCTGCACAGGAGCTGCGTTGGTTGACCTTCTTGCTCACCGACCTTGGTGAGCAGCCGCGCACTGCACCGACCTTGTTCACTAACAACAAGGCCTCGATTCTTCTCTGTCGAGAGCCGCGACTGGAGAGCAGAGTGAAGCACATCAACGTCAGGTACTTTCTTCTATGAGGGTTGCAGCGGCGTGGACAGGCTCGCTTCGACTTTGTGGAGTCCAAGGCCAACACTGCAGACATCTTTACCAAGGCGCTTCCGCCTTGTGACCACAAGAGGTGTATACAGTTAGGTCTCGTTGACACAGGTTCTCGCCTTGCGTAGTCTTGAGTTCTCAGTTTGCTTTGTTTGTACATTTTTATATATACCTCTGTGAACTCTTGAACTGGCCTTGTGGCTCTTTTGCTTGTGCTCGGAATGTTTGGTGACGTTGTGATCCACCCTGAGCTTTGTTTCTCAGTGACTGGTCTTATGACCATACACTTTTGGTTTTGCTTGACACACACCCCTCACTTAGACTATGGGGGTGTGTCAAATGTTGTAGCCTTAGTGTTGTGTGTTATAGGGGGTACAATTGTTAGGGTTATGTACCCCAACCAAACTTAGTCAAACCAACACTTTCATTCTTGATACCGTAGCACACCCCATTTTCTACACATTACCGTTACCACTTTAGCTTCGCTACTTATTCTTCGCTCGTGCCTTCGCTCGATGTACTGTTTTTTCTTCGATAGTGCAATTCTCGCTCGCTCGCTCAATTGCACTCGTAACAGCTATTAGAAGAAGGTTTTATTTCTCCAGGGAGTGCAGGACTCACACTAATGCTTGTTGTAATAATACCTAGAAGTGGTGCTCAGTTCTACAGAGTTAGTAATTTTGTATCTGCAATCGGGTCAACACAAGCACGCCGCTGACCTCCGTGCCGAGCCCACCCTTTCATCTGCAGAAGGGCCATTCTAGCCTGATCTCAGAATGCACTTTTGCCACGTCATACCATATCCGTCCATCCATCACATTGCCGCAGCTTATTTTCAGAAAGGCGAGCAGCGGTTCAGTGCGGTGACTTGTACGTCGATTGGCCAAACACTCGACGCGATCTGCTAAGCCTGCGCTACCCACGATAGCGTGTGTGTGTGAGTGAACGTGTTACCGTTTGTGCTGCAATGGCAGCTGCAATGCGATCGTGCCGCCACGTGCCGTGCGCTCCGGCCCTTGGGAATGAGCACGAAAAGCGTCGCTTTGGCCATGTCGCCTTTCAGGGTAGGGAGATTGGCGGGAGCAGCACAACGTACTCATATGTCAGATGCGTGTATCGAATTGCCCAAATTGACTCAATAGCGGGGACAGAGAGAAGACCAGCAGCTAGTCGACCATTTCGAGTCGTCACCGCGAGGTTACCAGCGGGTTTTGCGGGGCCTCAGGACGGAAGGCTAGCAGCAAGACCGTCAATTGCGGGGAAGTCGAGATTGGCGGAAACAGCGCGATCTGCTGCTCCTGGCGCGCGAGTCAAAGCGCACGCCGTGGCATGGCGGAGCGGAGGGGGCGGCGAGGGAAGCGGCGGCAATGACGAAATGGGGAGAGGGGGCGGCGGAGGAAGAGGGGGAGATGGAGGCGGAGGAGGAGGGGGAGGTGGGGGAGAGGATAGCGAAGACGGCGGTGGTTGCGGAGGGCAAGGTGGTAACCAGCAGGAACATGGTTACTGGTTCCTATTGAAGCTGTTTTCTGATTGGTTTAACTCCCTTTTCGACGGCCTCTCTCCTCTATTCCACAAACGCCTGAGCGCCTTATCACTCTCCGTGTTTCTCCTTACCATGCTTCCGTTGCTCCTCTCCCCGCTCGCGCGCGCGGAATCCGCGCTTCTTCGCCGCCCTGCGCCCTCTCCTGCGGCCGCCGCGCCCGCCGGGGACCAAGAGGTGATATGGGAGCTCCACGGTGACAGGTGGCGGCGCCTGATTGGCGGAGACAGCAGCAGCAGCGCGAGCAGCAGCAAGGGGAAGAAGGGCCAGCTAGTGGTGGAAGTTGAACTGGAAGGCGAGGAAGCTGCTAACGCGTACGAGGAGGAACACGGACGCGTTGTAAAGGGGATCGTTACAAGCACGGGGAATGGCAACGGGAAGGCCGCAGGGGGTAGGGTTTTAGCGGGGGAGGAGGATGAGCGGAGCAGAGGGGGGGATATGGTTGCGCGGGTGGTGAGGGGAGTGAAAGCGGCGGTGGTGAGATGGATGTTACCAGAGGGTTATCCCGATAGTGTGACTCCTGACTATATGGAGTACACAGTGTGGCGCATGCGGCAAACAGTGGCGAGCGAAATGAACCACGTGCTTACAACGCAGGTGAGAGGCGTTTCTATGTCGCAGGCTCCTTCAATTGAGGTCTGTTTGCTATGTCTAAGAACCTTCCTCTCCCCTGCCCTCCTCTCTCCGTCCTTTTCCTCACCTGAAGCCCTTTCTTCTCTCTCTTCTCTCAAACGGTCCTTCGTGGTAAAGGACGGGCTGGGCTATGCAGCCGAGGTCACGCCCTCCCAGTTCAACATGTTGCATCCCTTCCCCCTCGAACGGTCCTTGCATTAATCACGGTGGGTGTTACAAGGAAGGTGCAAACACAAGCAAGACAAACAACCAGACCACAATTCTACCTGTCACACCTACTCCTTCCCACTCCCGGCCCCCTCTGTCCGACCCTACTGGCCGAATGGGGGCTCAATCAGCTGGTGGTGCAGCTGTCCCTCGCTAAGAGGGACGATGGGGCCCTGCATGCCGAGCTTGTCCGCTGCCAAGGCCTCGTTGGTCTTGGAGCGGAGGGCATTGGCCTGCGCTCTCTGGAGGCAGACACTCCAGCGCTGGCGGTACTCCGTCAGCAGCTTGGCTGCCTCGTATGAGGTAGGTGCTGCGTTGTATCGCAGCTTGGCCGCTAGCTCCGCGCACTGCCGCAGGTAAGCCATCACCCCCGGGGAAGGATAGCCGTATGTCTCGACTGCAAGGGCGTGGAAGCCCACCCACGCGTTCCGTCGCGCGTATTTCTCCTCCTTCCTAGCTGCTGCCGCCCTTGCCGCCCACCCTGGAGCCCGACTGCATTCTTCATCCTGGTAGGACACGGGATCAGTCACAGTCACGTCACACAACCACACTCTCTCCCTCTCTTTCCTCCCTCTCTTCCCTCTCTCCCTCCCTTTCTCTCTTCCCTCTCTCGCTTCCCTCCCTCTCTTCCCTCTCTCCCTCCCTTTCTCTCTTCCCTCTCTCGCTTCCCTCCCTCTCTTCCCTCTCTCCCTCCCTTTCTCTCTTCCCTCTCTCGCTTCCCTCCCTCTCTTCCCTCTCTCCCTCCCTTTCTCTCTTCCCTCTCTCGCTTCCCTCCCTCTCTTCCCTCTCTCCCTCCCTCCCTCTCTTCCCTCTCTCGCTTCCCTCCCTCTCTTCCCTCTCTCCCTCCTGCAGGCAATGCTGTACGCGGTGGGGCTGGGAAAAGGCGCCATCCCAGCAGCAGCCGCGGTCAACTGGGTGCTGAAAGAATCCAAAGTCACACTCTCCCAGTTCAACCTGGAACCATTCGTCTCTCCTCCCTCTCTTCCCACTTTCTCTTCCCTCCTCGCCTCTCCAGGCAATGCTGTACGCGGTGGGGCTGGGCAAGGGCGCCATCCCAGCAGCAGCCGCGGTCAACTGGGTCCTAAAGGACGGGCTGGGCTACGCAGCAAAAGTCACGCTCTCCCAGTTTGGCCGCCATTTCGACGTCTCCCCCAAGCGCTCGCGCCTCCTCTCCGACCTCGTCGAGAACCTCTCCGCCTCCCTCGAGCTCCTCACCGCCACCTTCCCGCAGTACTTCGTTCAACTGGCTGCTGCAGCCGGGGCAGGGTTCTCTGCTTCCAGTCTCGTGCAGAGTGCCACGAGAAACCGGTTTTACGCCGGGCTGGCAGGCAGAAGAAATTTCGCCGAGGTAAGGCAGCACCTTAGGTCGGGCAGGTGAGAGTGCCGATGCGAGCAAGTGGGATTGCCGATGTGGGCAGGTGAGAGGGCCTGTGAAGGGACATTCCCTCGCTCTGACCTCGTGGAGAATCTCTCCGCCTCCCTCGAGCTCCTCACCGCCACCTTCCCGCAGTACTTCGTTCAACTGGCTGCTGCAGCCGGGGCAGGGTTCTCTGCTTCCAGTCTCGTGCAGAGTGCCACGAGAAACCGGTTTTACGCCGGGCTGGCAGGCAGAAGAAATTTCGCCGAGGTAAGGCAGCACCTTAGGTCGGGCAGGTGAGAGAGTGCCGATGCGAGCAAGTGAGATTGCTGATGTGGGCAGGTGAGAGGGCCTGTGAAGGGACATTCCCTCGCTCTGACCTCGTGGAGAATCTCTCCGCTTCCCTCGAGCTCCTCACCGCCACCTTCCCGCAGTACTTCGTCCAGCTGGCCGCTGCTGCCGGGGCGGGGTTCTCTGCTTCCAGCCTCGTGCAGAGTGCCACGAGAAACCGGTTTTACGCCAGGCTGGCAGGCAGAAGAAACTTTGCCAAGGTGAGCATGATATTCTGCCCTGCTTCGGGCAGGTGAGTGAGAGGGCCTGTGGGGGGACATTCCCTCTCCCTCCCTCCCTCCCTCCCTCGAGCTCCTCACGGCCACTTTCCCGCAGTACTTTGTGCAACTGGCCGCTGCTGCCGGGGCCGGGTTTTCCGCGTCCAGCCTCGTGCAGAGCGCCACGCGGAACCGATTTTATGCTGGATTGGCGGGCAGAAGAAACTTTGCTGAGGTAAGGAGGTGGCTTGCTTCGGGCAGGTGAGAGCTCCGATGTGGGGAGGTGAGACCGTGAGAGGGCCTGTTGGGGGGGCACTCCCTCCTCCCTCCGCCTCCCTCGAGCTCCTCACCGCCACCTTCCCGCAGTATATCGTCCAGCTGGCCGCTGCGGCCGGAGCGGGGTTTTTCCGCGTCGAGCCTTGTGCAGAGCGCCACCAGGAACCGGTTTTATGCTGGCCTGGCGGGCAGAAGGAATTTTGCCGAGGTGAGATGATTCTGCCTTGGGTTGGGCAGGTGAGAGTACCGATGGGGCAGGTGACAGGGCCTGTGGGCGGGCATTCCCTCCCTCTCTCCGCTTCCCTCGAGATCCTCACACTCGCAGTAATTCGTCCAGCTCGCTGCTGCTGCTGGGGCGGGGTTTTCAGCATCGAGCCTCGTGCAAAGCGCCACGAGGAACCGGTTCTATGCCGGGCTGGCGGGCAGAAGAAATTTCGCCGAGGTGAGATTCCGCCTTGATTTGGGCAGGTGAGAGCGCCGATGTGGGCAGGTGAGAGGGCCTGTGCAGGGACATTTCTACGCTTCAACATCGTGGAGAAATTATTCGCCTCCATCCCTGGAGCTCCTCACAGCCACCTTCCCGCAGTACTTCGTCCAGCTGGCTGCTACTGCCGGGGCGGGGTTTTCTGCTTCCAGTCTCGTGCAGAGCGCTACCAGGAACCGGTTTTACGCCAGGCTGATGGGCAGAAGAAACTTCCTGAGGTGAACATGAGATTCTGCCCTGCTTCGGGCAGGTGAGAGGGCCTGTGAAGGAGCATTTCCCCCCTGCCTCTCCGCCTCCCTCGAGCTCCTCACAGCCACCTTCCCGCAGTACTTCGTGCAGCTGGTCGCTGCTGCTGGGGCGGGGTTTTTGGCTTCCAGTCTCGTGCAGAGCGCCACCAGGAACCGGTTCTACGCCGGGCTGGCGGGCAGAAGAAACTTTGCCGAGGTAAGGAAGTGCCGTGCCTTGCTTAGGGAAGGTGAGGGCTCCGATGTGGGGAGGTGAGACCGTGGAGGGCCTGTTGGGGGGCACTCCCTCCTCCCTCCGCCTCCCTCGAGCTCGTCACAGCCACCTTCCCGCAGTATTTCGTCCAGCTGGCGGCTGCTGCCGGGGCGGAGTTTTCTGCTTCCAGTCTTGTTCAGAGTGCCACGAGGAACCGGTTTTACGCTGGATTGGCGGGCAGAAGAAATTTTGCCAAGGTGAGATTCCTCCCTGCTTCGGGCAGGTGAGAGAGCCTTTGCTCAGCGTTTCAAGCGCCTGTTCTGTTGGGATGCGATGTCTGAAGTGCAAGTGGAGAGCCAGGGAGGTGGCTGTAAGGAGCTAGAGGGATACATTTTCTCCCTTGAGCTCCTCACAGCCACTTCCCCGCAGTATTTCGTCCAGCTGGCGGAGCAGAAGAAATTTCGCCGAGGTGAGAGTGACTGGTTGAACTTTTGGTATTGGATTGGTCTGGGCGTTTTGAAAATGGTGCAAAAGAGACCAGAAATAGCCCTTGGGATTGCCAGGTCCGCAAGCACTGCTATGGCGCTGCATGTGCTTGACTGCCTTGACTTTTGAGTCTAATAAAAAGTCACGTCTGTGTTCATCCACTCCTGTGACCAAATCTTGTGCCCTCCGACTTCTTTTCCCCCAGTTTCATCCACTCTTCTGACCAGCTCGGGTGACACACCTGCTGCTGTCTGATCCGTGTATCTAACTTCATTCACTCTCTGCTCCTCCCCTTCCTCTCCCCCCAGGTGCTAGCACGCGCAGAGGCACAGGGCATGGTGAGCAAGACATTGGGGATGGCACTAGGCATCGCCATCGCTCCACACGTGGGCAACCGGGGCCCTCTACTCTGGGCGACTCATGGCCTGCTGTCCGCCGCGCACCTGTTCTGCAACTACCGCTCGTACAAGGCTGTACAACTCAGGACACTCAACCCCTTCAGAGCAGGTGAGCAGCAAGAAAGGCCAGGGCACTCGGGCACTTGCTGCTCGGCACCAGTGACCTGTAACCACCTGAATCGACCATATCTCCTTAACATGTGTGCCTCGAAGCAGCTTCCTCCAATGCTCTGCCCTCTTTTGTCCCTCCTGTGCTCTCTTCTCTTCTCCCCTTGGTACTTTCCCCAGATATTGTCCTGGCAGAGTATGTGACCAATGGCAGGGTGCCAGGTGTCATTGACGTCAACTCACAGGAGCCCATTCTGCCGCCCCTCAAATCGATATTTTCGCCCAAGGTAACTGTCTGGATGTGGTGCGTGTTTGGTGCATGTGTGGTGCGTGTGTGGTGCGTGTGTGGTGCGTGTGTGGTGCGTGTGTGGTGCATGTCTGGTGGATGTGTGGTGCATGTGTGTGCATGTGTGGTACTTGTGTGGTGGATGTGTGGTGCATGTGTGGTGGATGTGTGGTGCATGTGTGGTGCATGCGCGTGCGTGCCTTATATTTGTGTTACATGCGCGTTACATGTCTTGTATGTGTGCCATGCAAGTGGGTGTCCTGCTTGGTATGTCACCTTCCGCCTATCACCCCTCTCCTTCCCTCTCCTTTCCATCCCTTCCCCTTCCTCGGGCGTCTCCCCCACCCCTCCCCGGCACGGGTAGCGAGAATTGGATCGAGTTTGGGGTGCCCTTGGCAGCAGTGGCGCACACAGAGAGACGTCTCAACCCGCACCTTCTCCCCATTTCCTCTCCGTTCCCTTCTACTCCAATGTTTGGGGAGTCTAAAATATTGCCCCACTTCGTCTCCGTTCCCCTTTTCTCTCCACTATGCAGGACAATCCACCACCAGCGCCTGGGACAGGGAGCGAGAACTGGATCGAGTTTGGAGTGCCTTTGGCCGCAGTGGCGCACACAGAGCGGGAGGCAGAGACCATGGCTGATATATTCCGAGGAGAGAAGTATTTGCTTGGGCGGGACGAGCGAACTGGACAGATGCAGGTGCGTGCCTTGAGTGTGATTGTGGTTGGGTGTGAGAACAAGGGAGAGGGTGTGTGGCGCACACAGAGCAGGAGGCCGAGACTATGGCGGGGATATTCCGAGGAGAGAAGTACGTGCTGGGAAGGGATAAGAGAACGGGGCAGATGCGGGTGGGTGCCTGCCATGTGTGTGTAAGGGTTGGGTGGGCATTAGGGGAAGAACAAGGGGAATTCCTTCCAGGCAGCCCTACAAGCCGCCTACCTCCGCACACTCTCTCCACACTCCCTCTGTCCCGCCATCCACTCTCTCGCCCTCAAGCGCGCACCCACATCCAAGCCCGCGCAGCCGAGTTTTGCCGCCTTAAAAAACTAGAGGTGCTGCATGCTCTCCTCTTCCTCTTAACACTTTGCCTTCCCTCTCACCCCTGTCAACGCATCCCCAGGTTGTCTTGAAGGAAGGAGCACTCCCTCGGGATTTCCTCAGAGCAGCCCTGCAAGCTGCCTACCACTAAATGCCATCCTCCTCTGCCCACCGACATGCCTCCTCACCCCTCGCACCCACCATCCAGGTTGTGTTGAAGGAAGGAGCTCTCCCAAGGGACTTCCTCCGAGCAGCCCTGCAAGCCGCCTACCTCCGCACCGCACGCACACTCGCTTCACACTTCAACTGCCCCACTGCAAGCTGCCTGCCTTTCAATTCTCACCTCTTCCTCTAAATGCCATTCCATGCCTTTTCACCCCGGGGACCCTGTCACTAACCACCAGGTTGTGTTGAAGGAAGGAGCTCTCCCAAGGGACTTCCTCCGAGCAGCCCTCCAAGCCGCCTACCTGCGCACGCTCGCCCCCACACTCCCTCTGCCCCACAACCCACTCTCTCGCCCCTCAAGCGCGCACCCACGTCCAAGCCCGCGCAGCTGAGTTCGCCTCGTTTGGGAAACTAGAGGTGCTGCATGCTTCATATAACCGCATGGCGGGGGGGTTTGACGGGTTGTGTGAGGAGCTGAGAGCGAGTGGGTGGCGCTGCGATGATGGCTTGCTGGCGCGGCCGGGGGATTGGCGACTGCTGCTGGAATCAGCTGATAAGAGCAAGTGAGGGATGGGAGTGCAGCTGAGTTTGCTTCTTTCGGGAAGCTAGAGATGCTGCATGCTTCCTATGACCGCATGGCGGGAGGGTTTGACGGGTTGTGTGAGGCGTTGAGGGCGAGTGGGTGGAGCTGTGACGATGGCTTGCTGGCGCGGCCGGGGGATTGGCGACTGCTGCTGACGGCAGACAAGGGGAAATGAGGGATGGTTGGGAGTGCAGCAGCGTTTGCATTGGTGGGGAAGCCAGTTGGAGTTGCCGCATGTGTCATATCACTGCATGGCAGGAGGGTTTGACGTGCTGTGTGAGGCGCTGAGAGTCTGTGGTTGGCGCTGTGATGATGGCTTGCTGGCGCGGCCGGGGGACTGGCGGCTGCTGGTGTCAGCGGATAAGGGGAAGTGAGGGATGGGTGGGAGTGCAGCAGTGTTCTCCTTGTGCGGGTGGGTGCTGTGCTGCACGCTTATGACCTCGTGGCAGGGGGGGGTTGAACTTTGAAGGGCTAGGAGATGCATTTCCTCAGTACGGCACTGAGGGCCAGCAGGTGGCACTGCGACGATGACTTGCTGGCCTAACCAGGGGATTGGCGGATGCTGGTGTCTGTGGATTAGGGGAAATGATGGTTGGGAGAGCAGTAGCAGGTGAATCGTTTGGGAAACTCGGGGTGGTGGTGCGTCAACGATTAGTGAGTGCTGACATCATCAGGAGATGATGAGAAATGAGGGATTGGGGGAGCAGCAGTGTTTGCATCGGCTAGGAAGCTAGAGATGATGCATGCACACGTGTGTGATGGTGGGAGACATGACATTTTCATTTCTTTTTAGGAGATTCTAAAATGGAGTTAAGGGTAGAAAAGAAACTTATGCAACATAGCTTGAATATTGGAGAATTTGAAATACGCAGTTGGCACAGCAGATCAGATAGGTAAGGATAAGCAAAGATATGAGGTGCATGATGCTAGGAGACACAGGGCCTCTGGTGCAGTGGTTGATGCAACAAAACACTGAGTTCCTAGGTCTGTTGTTCTCCACCTCCAGAAGCAAGACAAGGCTTGGTGCATTAGTAGCATGTGGAGATGCAGGAGATGCAGGAGATGCAGGAGATGCAGGAGATGCAGGAGATGCAGGAGATGCAGGAGATGGCGCTGATGCAGCGGGTGGGGCGGTAGTTCATGCTGATGCAGTGGGTGGGGCGGCAGATGGTGCTGAGCAGGCAGTGCAGCAGGTGGTTCAGGGATGAACTGGTTGCGGTTGGGGATGGAGATGGCAGCATCGATGTTGTTCAGCAGGCCTCTGTGGCGGCCCAGCAGCATCACCAGCACCAGCACCAGCACCAGCACCAGCACCAGCACCATCACCAGCACCAGGTGCAACAGCTACAGCAGTGGCAGCAGGGGCAGCAGATACAAGAGATGCAGCAGGCGGTGCAGCAGGCAGTGCAGGTTCGGGAATGAACTGGTTGCGGTTGGGGATGGAGATGGCAGCGTCGATGTTGTCAGGCAGACCTCTGTGCCGGCCAGCAGCATCACCAGCACGAGAACCAGCTTGGACCAAGGACTCCAAACGCCTGAAAGGTGCGATACGGGGAAGGAAGAGAAGCACGATTTGGTTCAGAAGCAGAAGACCCAGCAGCAGCATCAGCGGCAGCGGCGGCAGCAGCAGCAGCAGCGGTGCCAACAGCAGCACATGCATCTCTCCATGAGTGCTCAAAATTCAACCTTTAAACACGACTTTTGGATTGACCAAGAAATCAGATTTAGCTGAATCACTGATATGCAACACAAGCACATCTTTATGAATGTTCATCATTTAAACAGTACAACAATTCATCCCCCCTATGATCTCCACACCTGCCACTGGCCACCTCCCAAAAGCAACGACAAGCAGGCGTGTGCTCTGAAATTAACAGAAAGGCTGACCAGACAGGGCCCTTCTTAACCTTGCAACCTGGCAGATCCGAGGTTGCAGCAGAGGAGCCATTCTGAAGTTCTAAAAAGGGGCGCACCAAATACGAGACTATGGGAAATTATAGAAACGGAAGCAGCAGAGGAGCCACTCTAGGACGCTAAAAGAAGAAGAAGAAGAAATAAATAAAAACCGCGCACCAGAGAAGCTATACGGAGGAGTGACACAGTCAGGACCAGCTTCAGGCGGACAGGTGTAGCCCAAGGAAAGGCCCACGTTGCCATATCCACTGCGGGAGAAAAACAAGTGCAAAGGTAAAGGTATGGCGTGTCAGCATTGGGAGGCCCACATTGCTGTATCCACTGCCAGAAAAGAACACATGCGAGGATGGGTATGTTGGGAGATCTTCAGACATAGTCACCAGAGAGCAGCTGTGCCCAGGCAAAGGTTACTGCTAAGCCATGACAACAATGGAAAAGGTTCCCATTCGCACGTCCACTGTGAGCCCAAACATATGAACGATTTTCGAGAAATTCTAGAAAAATCGCTCACAAGAAGAGCAGCAGTGCGCAGGCAACCACTATTTCTAAGCCATGTCGAAAATGGAAGAGGTTTTTGGCCACTGCAAGCCCAAGCATACGCAAGGATAGATGGAGGGGCCTCAAGAAAAGCACCCGAGGAGACCGGTTTTGAGGCGCCTAAAAACAGAAAAACACCTGATGAGCAAGACAGGTTTTGCCGCACGCACCCCTCGCGACGAGTCAAAGAAAGCTTGAACATGAAGGACCATGCGATCTGATGGCGCTGATTGGCTGCTGAACAAGGGTTTCACTTTTGAGAATTTCTCAAAAGGTTTGACCACAGCATGCATGGATGGATGTGCACATACATGGCTGATGAGCACGATATCGCCGATATCGCTGCACACACAGCTGAGAATGCGCATAGAATCAGCACCTGATGAAGCGCCTAAAATAAAGCACCTGATGAGCTCGAAGGCGATGCTGAAGATGTTGAAGTTGGAGATGCCGCTGGGACTTTTGAGTCAAATCAAAAGGTGACTTGACTTTTGAGTCGACTCAAAAGTCAGCTGATGATGCGCCTAGAACAAAGCACCTGATAAGTTCAAAAGCGATGTTGAAGATGTTGAAGTTGGCGATGTCGCTGGTGATGTTGGCGCTCTCTACGAGGCAGATCACCAGCAGTGCTATGAAGAGCGATTGAGGGCCTAAGCTGTTCCTTGATGAAGGCTTGAACACAGCATGTGGGGACTGGGCGCACTCACTCACCTGATGAGCTCAAAGGCAATGTTGAAAATGTTGAAGTTGGCGATGTCGCTGGTGATGTTGGCGCTCTCTATAAGGCATATGACCGGCAGTGCTATGAAGAGCAACGCCGAATCCCGCAGAAGCAGCCCTCTGCCCTGGGTGAACACCCCGTGATCCAGCACTCCCCCCTGCATGGATAGTTGAGGGAAGACAAGTGAGCTGCATCAGAACACCGTTTACAGGGTCAACACCCCGTGATCCAGCACTCCCCCCTGCATAGATAGTTGAGGGGAGAGACACATGGGAGGTGATTTATGAGGCCAACTGAATCATAAGCCGTTTACAGAGCCAATCATTCAGCAGCACACCCCCCTGCATGACTTGTGTCACGCCAAGTGATACGCCAAGTGATACGCCAAGTGATGTGCCAAGTGATGTGCCATGTTATGCCATGACAAGCGAGGAGGGATGAGAGTGGCATGGATGGTGGGCGGTGAAGGATGGAAAAGCCCAGTTGTTTCTCAAGAATGAAAAGAAAAAAATACACACACAACAAACTTAATGAGCATCTCGGCCCTCACAGGTTACCTCAGGCCCTCACAGATGTAATGTATGTAACCCCATACTACCTTCACGGATGTAATGTAACCCCATACTACCCTCACGGATGTAATGTAAACTTGCCAGCAGATCTTCCCAGAACACCCCAATGTCCTCATCGTCATACACCTCCCTCTGCTCCCTTGACGTCTGCCTCGTCCCCTACACCCCTCCCCATCCCCCACACCCCTCCCCATCCCACAAGTTCTCACTCATTCGCAGGGACTTGGAACAGAACTTGCCTGCAGGTCTTCCAGAACACCCCGATATCCTCATCGTCATACACCTCCCTCTGCTCCCTCGATGTCTGCCTCGTCAGGTACAGAGGATACACAGCCACGTACCTGCTCACGTTCGAGAGAGCAGCAGGGAATGGAATGGAAGGGCGGGCGGTTGTGGGATGGAAAGGAGGGCGGTTGTGAGATTGGATTGGAATGGAATGAAATGGAATGGAATGGGGGCTGGGTGTTTTTTAGAATTTTCAGAAACTCCATGCGAAGCCAGAGTTGGTAATGATATTTTTTTGTGCAATGGATTCATGGCCACACACCTGAGCAGAGTTTGGAAGGGAGGCTGGGATATGTAAGGGAGGGTGATGTCCCATGCACTCTCACACCATGCCCCTTGCACTCTCACACCATGCCCCTTGCACTCTCACACCATGCACCCTTGCACTCTCACACCATGCCCCAAGCACTCTCACACCATGCCCCTTGCACTCACACCATGCACTCACATCATGCCCAGGTATAGCAGCAGCATGGGGGGCGCAGGAGGCCGATGGCAATTACGTTGAATCCCGCGTTGCGTGTGCTCACAGATTGGAAATATCCTGCCAGTACCTTGGTCCCGCCTGGCATGCGCACACACACAAACACAAAGGGTAGAGGGGGAGAAGAGTGGAGAAACTGTGTTTGAGGTGCCTCAAAAAGCATTGCGTGTGCTCACAGATTGGAAATATCCAGCCAATATCCACCTGGCATGCACTCACACACAACCATGAGGTGGGGGGAATGTGGAGTAACATTGTGTGTGGGGTTTTGTTTTGTTTTTTGTTTTTTTTTTTTGGGCAGACAAAGCCCCCACAAAGGAAGAATTGCTCTCTTCCCAGACACATCCTCAGGAAATACGTACGTAATCCCTTGTTTGTGGTCTTTAGGTGACTTTTGAGTCGACGCAAAAGTTCCCTCAGGAAGACAAATCCTCTGGGAATATATACGTAATCCGTGTTTGTTGGTCTTTTTCGCATACCCGCAGTCCACATGCAACTCACTGGTGAAGCCGTCAATGGCAGGTGAGGTCCAGTCAGTGGCACAGAAGAAGACAAACTCCGTGAGATTGAACGCGAGCACTGTTAGCACGAGCATCACGGTGGAGCGCGGTGGGAAGAGGTGCGTGTAGCACTTGCCGCGGGTGCACGAGAAGGTAGGAGTAGACGAACTGAGGGGCACGGGGTGAGGGGGCGAAATCACTTGTCAATACAAGAAGAACCCAGTTTAATGAGTCTGCTTTTGAAGCACCTCAAGAGAGGTGCGTGTAGCACTTGCGCGGGCGCAAAAGAAGGTACGAGTAGACAAACTGCCGGCCAGGGCAAAGGGTGAGAGAGGGGTTGCAGACACTTCTCAATGTAAGAAACGCCAACTGCAATGAGTCTGCTTTTGAGTCACCTCAGAAGAGGTGCTAATGGCATTTGTGCGCCTGTAAGATGAGGATGCGGTAGGTAGGTGTGGACAAACTGAAGGGGTAAACAATGTAGGTGTGGGGGTAGCAGATAGATTTTTCAAAATAGGAACCCTGCGGTGTAAGAGACTGTTTTCACATGACCTCAACAGGGTGCACGCAGTGTGTGTGCAAATGCAGGAGAGCGTGAGTAGATGTTCTGAGGGATCACAGTGCAGGGATGGTACAGTAGAAGAAGAAAAAAGGAGGTTGTTTTTCTAGAATTGATGTGCAACCTCAAAAACAACCTGCAGGATGGTACAGTAGAAGAAGAAAAAAAGGATTGCCAAGTGTGCGTGCAGTGCAAACACAGGGAGGGAGGGAGCCAGGAACAAGAAGAGAGGTGACCGGAGAGCGGTGGGGGACCTAGTGCTGAAAACGGCAACCATGCGAAGGGAAAGACGGGTAAGGGTGCAGTCATTAGCCATCTACGAGACCGGTGTGGTGCGGGTGCAGAAGTTCCCTCTTAGAGTGATCAAATTCAAGAGGGTGCAGTGCGGTTGCGGTGCAGGCCTTACCCTTTTCTCTCCTCGTGAGAAGTGCCGGAGCAGACGCAGGAGGGCTCGCAGCGTGGGCGGGTACATGGTATTGCCAATGAGAATGAAGACCGACGTGACGATGACCAGAGCTGGGGCCCTCACGAACCCCATTAGGTTATCGTTCAGGCAGTGCCGCCCCTGTGTTGGAAAACGTCGACATAGCCTGTGCGGGAAGGAGGAGGGAAGCATGGGGCCGAGGGGTCCATTTTTAAGGCGTCTCAAAATTAGGTTATCGTTGAGCAGTGCTGCCCCTGTGTTGAAAAACGTTGAAATCGCCTGTGTGGGGGGGGAGGGGGAGGGAGAAAGCATGGGGGCCGAGGGAGGGACAAGTGAGGGTAGATGGAGGGGGGATGACATGAAAGGTGAGTGAGTGACCGGGGAAACAGCTGCTGGGATGGAAGGCGGCTGACTGGCAAGAAGGGCAGCTGACTGACGTGGAATGCACAGAAGAAGACGCTGTTGACGTTGCTGGCCTGCAGAGTTGCCTTGGCGTCTGTTTTTGAGGCGCCTCAAAAACTGACTGACATGGAAATGCGACTGACTGACATGGAATGCGACTGACTGACATGGAATGCGACTGACTGACATGGAATGCGACTGACTGACATGGAATGCAGCTGACTAGCATGGAAGGCGGCTGACTGGCAAGAAGGGCAGCTGACTGACATGGAAGGCACAGAAGAAGACGCTGTTGACGCTGTTGGCCTGCAGATTTGCCTTGGCGGAGGCAGAGATGCTAACGATGAGCAGCAGCAGCAGGAAGGCGGTGAGCAGCGATGTGGCGAGGAATGTGGGGTACCAGCCAGCTTAATGTCTCCAGGGCCCTTGATAGGGATAGGGACGGGGGGAATGAGGATGGGGATGGGGGATGGGAGATGGGGATGGGGATGATGGGGATGGGGATGGGGAATGGGGATGGGAATGGGGATGGGGGATGGGGATTGGGATGGGGATGGGGATGGGGATTGGGATGGGATAGGGATAGGGGGATGGGGATGGGGATGGGATGGGCGATGGGGATGGGGATGGGGGTGGGGATGGGATGGGAAGATAGGGTGGGGATGGGGGAAGGGGATGTGGATGCGGGATGGGTGAATGGGAAGTGGAGTATGGGAATGGGGATGAGGATGGAATGGGGATGGGGAGGAGTGCATGTGAAGTGTATGTGCATGGCATGTGCAAGTACATGTGCAAGTACATGTGCAAGTACATGGCATGCATGGCATGTGCAAGTGCAGGTTCCACATCGAAAGGGGGGGCATTGCAGAGCAGATGGCACAGAGAGAGGGCACATAGCATGGAACGTGGCACATGGCACGTGGCACATGGCACATGGCACGTGGCAGAGATGGCACATGGCACATTGCAAATTGCACATGGCATGTCGCACATGGCACATGCAATGCACAAGAAAATCATTTCAAAATGAGATTTTTCGAAAGAGGCCCCATCAGAGAACAACAGCAGGGCAGAACAGTGGTGCGGGCAAGTGAGCTATGAGGAGGGCCACACCTAGCACACAAGGAGGGGAGGGAGGGCTCACCTGAGCCACAAGGAGGGGAGGGAGGGGGCTCACCTGAGCTCGAGGAATCTGAGTTCACTTGGCTGTGCTGCCGTCAGCCATTCATCCACCATTGCATCCGCGTAACCATCAGCAAACCCGTAACCATCAGCATCAGCGAAATCCAGATCCCCCCCAAGGCTTGTGCCGGTCACACTGCTTTCACGGCTCAAACCTCCCGCTCCTCCTCTGCCTTGCCCTGTGCTCCAGACCCCCCAGGAATGGCAAGAATGCGGGGGGGTGTGGTAGGGAGTGTGCTCTTAACGCGGATTGGTTGAGAGATGCAGCACGAGTTAGCCTTGAGAGGTGAACAGGTCAAGGAGGAGCGCCTTGTAGCTGCCGCCTCCTGCTCCTCCTCCTGCGGCTGCTGCTGCTGCTGTGCTCTAAGCGCCTCAAGCGCAATTGGAGGCGCTGCCCTTCAATCCTAGCCGTTTTCCCCGGCCCAAGTCATCGAGCTCATCCCCACAGCCCCCTCTGCCTCCACCCCTCTGCCTCCACCCCGCCGGCGCAACCCACCGCGTGTCACCCATCCCTCCTCCACATCCGTCCCCCGTCTGGCGCCACGCCCTTCGCCCTCACCAGTACCTGGAGTCAGGGGTGCCGCCCTTCTCTTGCCTCCTCCAGGAGTTTCTCCAGGAGAGTTGTCAGGCCTAAGGGCCTTCGGCCCCGTGGGAGCTGCTGATTCTTGAGGCGCCTCAAAAAGTTGTCAGGCCTAAGGGCCTTCGGACCACAGGCGCTGGCTGCTGGCTTATTGCTGGTCTGTTGTTGCATCTGCTGCTGCTGTTATGCTGCATCTGCTGCATTTTGCTGCTGTAGCTGTTCCTGCCCGCTGCTGCTGCCACCAGAAGCTGCAGCCACAGAGGCCACATGGGGACTCGCCTGCTGGAGCGACAGTGCCTGCAGTGGCAGCAGGTACTTCAAGGGAGGGGGCGGGCGAGGAAGAGACAAGAGGGGGAATGCAGGCAGATGAGGTACTTGTCTTCTCCTCCGCTTAAGCTAGCAGGCAGCAGCCGCAGCAGCAGCAGCAGAAGGGTAATGCAGTGGGGGTCAACTGGCGATAGGATATGCTGGGCCTGTTTCAACGTCAGCAAAAACATCTCCTCCCCCCTCTTCCCCCCCAGCAATGCACTCTACCCCTGCAGCTGCCCCAGCACTCTCAACCCGCCTCCTCCACTGCCTCCCTGCCTTCCCTTGCTGCCTGCCACTGTCACTGCTGCCCCTGCTACCCCTGCTGCCCTTTGCCGCTGCTGCAGACGCTCTTGGGACTCGCAGCAGCTGGAGCTGCAGGGGGCAGACCTACAGACCAGGCTCCGTTGTTCCCTGATATGTTTTCTCCTCCTCCATCTCCTCCTTCTCCTCCTCCTCCTCCTCCCCCCTGCACCATGCGGCGCTGCCTGAGAGGCGGAGGCTGCAGTGTCAGACAGGCCCTGGGGTCGTAGCTGGAGGGTAAGTCGGAGGGGTGGGTCTGGAGCAGGCCAGCGCAGGCGCAGGATGGCGGTGGGAAGTAGTAACGGGCACCAAGACTGGCACAGGGACGTCACCACCTGGCAAGCCACAGAGAGAGAGAAAGAGATGGCAGTCAAGCTTTTGAGACGTCTCCAAACTCGATTATGGCAGGCTGGCAGTGGGCGAGATGGCGGTGGAAGTAGTAACGGCGCACCAAGACCGGCACCAGGGACGTCACCACCTGGCACACACAGAGAGAGATTGGGAGCCAATTTTTTAAGTCAATTTTTAGAATCGTAAGAAATGACCTCCAATGTGGCGCTAGCAGGACAGGCAGCCAGGGCTGTCAGCAGCCTGTCAGCATGGCATGGCGTGGCATGGCATGGCATGGCGTGTGGCATGGCGTGGCATGGCCATGGCATGGCATGGCGTGTGGCATGGCGTGCATGGCATGGCATGGCGTGTGGCATGGCGTGGGGCCTGATTGAGAGCATGTACCAATGAGGGTTTCATTCACCATGCGATTACTGGTTACCACCACGTCATTGTTTCTTTCTAACCCACGCTCCTGGGAGCCCATGAACATGAGGAGAAGAGGCGAGGCACGTTGGTGCCATCAGTGAAAACCCCCACATCCACGGTGATGGAGTCCCCGCCAAGGCACACACACGACGTCACATTGAAGAGAGCGTCTATGAAGCTGATTTTCCCTGCTGGCCTCGCTCGGCGCCACGCATGAAGACGAGCGTGAAAGCGAGGATGACTATAACGAAGCACAGCATGTGCAGCCGGTAGAAGGTCACGCGCGCGCTTGAGCCACGCGGGAAGAGCCACGCCGCGCATCAGCGGCGTGGTGCGACGGCGCGCCAGGCTGAGATTGCCATGGAAACAGCAGCTCCAGCAGCAGCAGCAACTTAGCCACTAGTTGTAGCACTAGGAGCCTCAAAACAGGAGCACGGGTACTGCTGGTAGTAGTACCGCTAGAGCGTCACAATCATAACTTGCTGGAACGACACGGAAACGTGAATGGTGGAGGCTCTGCCGTCCAGAGCAAAACGTGCTCGCTCATTGATCCTCCCGGGTGTGTCATGCGAGGAGAGGAGACGTTTGAGTCGACTCAAAAGTCGCCTCATAAAAGAAGTACAAGCGTAGCGGCTGTGGCAGGTCGTACGTTTTACAGCTCATCATTCGTGGCTGAGCTTCACGGTTTTTGCAGCTGTGACGCAACGAATTAGACCGCAAAGAACGTACACGAGACGTACGAATTACACCCGTCATTGAGCCTCAGAATTGGTAGTTCTGGCGGGTGAGAGGAGAGGAGGGAGAGAGCGCGGCCGACTCTCAGACAGCGGAGACAGTGAGGCAGAACGATACTGGAGAGGAGAGAGATGCTCTCGCGACAATCGATGGTTTGCGGGGACGCGGGCCGCGGCAGCGGTGAACGACTCGTTTCGGCAAGGTCACGAACAAAAAAATCGCAACCTGTCTTGTGAGCATGACTCGTGTGATGAAGCAATTTTCGATGTGCCTGAAAAGGCGACGACATTTCGGCCATGTCCCGTGGTGTGATGTGGGTAGGAAACTTGAGGGGGTTCATAAGGGCGATCACGCCCAAGTTCATATCGCCCGCTGATCCCAAGAACACTGCGAAGCTGTTCGGGCGCACTCCCCTCTTGGCTGACGATTACCATGGTGTCGGTATCCCCCTCCTTACTACAATCACAGCTGGTTCGGGACACCATTCTCGCCGTACAGAGTGTTACTTAGGCGAATATGTTGTACACCGAATAATGTCGACGTGATTCCGCCGCAAACGGGTAGTTATGGAGCCTAATCCGCATGCTAACAGCAGGAAGTCCCTGTGCCTCACTGAGGGAGGCCT